TATATCTAGTTCGTCAGATATAGAGAGCGATAATTAATTTAATATATTGTGGTTGATTTATTTAGGTGTAAAGTTCTGTGCCAAGAAAAAGTGATCGACTCGGTGATATGATCGACTCGCTGATAAACCACGTTATAGTAATTGTGGTATTTAGTTAGCTTTTCGGGGGTAAATTAGTTAATATTATACCCGGCTTATTCTAGAACCTTCTATAATCGTAGAATAGATAAGTATCTAAAACGCTTATAAAGTTATTATAATTTAGCTTCTATTAGCGAGTTTAGAAATTTACATATAAAGTTATAATTCGTCTGATCTTATAACGTAGTCCACAAGCGAGTTGGATTCCCAAGCGAAATGGATTTTTTTTCTTGGCACTCCACAAACTTATTCAGAGCGCGTTTTTTCTTAACAAACAAAATGGTTAAGCATTGGACAGAGTCTGATATGATTCTTGCGCTAAATACGCTTCGTACGAACCCACATTTAAAAGTTAAGAAGGTTGCGCGGATCTATAAAGTACCTTATACGACATTGCTTAATCGAACTCATGGAATATTATCACGACAAGATTCTATCGCTAAATCTCGAAAACTTACAGAGATTGAAGAAATAGTTATCGTACGACATATTCTCGACCTAGATTCTCGATCATTTCCCCCACGAGTACGTTGTGTTGAAGATATGGCGAATCGTATCCTCTCGGAGCGGGGTGCAGGACGCGTTGGCAAGAACTGGACTTCGAACTTCGTACGACGACAACCTGAACTTAAGACGCGTTTTAATCGAAGGATTGATTATCAAAGAGTCCAATGCGAAAATCCAGACGCGTACAGCGCGTGGTTTCGCCTCGTACGAAATATAATTGACAAATATGGGATTCAGGAGGAGGATATTTATAACTTTGACGAGACTGGGTTTTGTATGGGCCAAATTACATCAGAAATGGTTGTTACAAGTACCGAAAGGCTTTCTCGGCCTCGTACAGTACAGCAAGGAAACCGGGAATGGGCAACAGTAATTCAAGGTGTTGGGTCGTACGGCTTTGTAGTGCCTCCATATATCATTTTGGCGGGGAAGAACCACCTCTCCTCCTGGTACGAAAACAGCCAATTACCACGCGACTGGGTAATTGCTGTAACTACAAATGGCTGGACAACAAATGAGCGAGCCCTAGATTGGATTTTTCATTTCGATCGGCATACAAAGCTTCGTACGAAGGGCATTCACCGGCTGCTTGTGCTTGATGGCCATGAAAGCCACCACTCAGTCGATTTTGAGCTTTTTTGTAAGAGTAATAACATTATGACTCTTTGCATGCCAGCTCATTCCTCTCATAGACTCCAGCCACTCGATGTAGGATGTTTTCGAGCGTTAAAAAGGTCGTACGGTGCTGAACTTGAGAAATTAATGCGACTCCACATTACATATGTTTCTAAGGAGGATTTCTTATCAACATTCTATACTGCCTTTCGTACGACAATGACTGAATCAAACATTCGAGGAGGATTTCGAGGATCTGGCTTAGTGCCGTACGACCCAGATTCTGTGATTTCACAGCTTGATATACGTCCAAGGACTCCGTCACGTCCATCTACCTCAACAAGCCTCCTAGCTATTTGGGAACCAAAGACCCCAAATAACATAACAGAGGCATATTCCCAGACGTCATATATACAAAACAAGGTCGTACGACACCAAGATAGTTCTCCGACCCAGATTCTATATGGCCTAGACCAGCTTGCAAAGGGTGCACAGCGTGCAATCACTGAGGTAGCTTTATTACGAGCTGAGAATGCTACACTTCGTACAGCAAATGATCAACTTAGTCGGCGTCGTCGTACGAAAAAGCGCCGATTACAGGAAGGAGGATCACTTACTCTCCAAGATGCGCAAGATTTAGGGGTCCTTAGTAATGTTGATTCGCAAGAACAAGTGGTTTTAGTAGAAAATAGTAATTGTACGAGCCCGAGTCTAGTACCTCGCCGGCGCTGTGGACTATGTGGGAAACATGGCCATAACATACGAACGTGTCAAAAAGGGGAAGAAATATGTGAGGATTCCGATTCTGAATACTGTAATTAATTTAATTAATTGTGTCGTGAGATATTTAAGAATTTATAAAATGCCAAGAAAAAAATCCATTTCGCTTGGGAATCCAACTCCCTTGTGGACTACGTTTTATATATATAAATTAAATAAACCTATAAAAGCTATTAGACGTAATAAGAGGGCAAGGGCGAGCCTGCGAGCCCGTCTGGCCTCGTATAGGGTTAATATTTTTACTATCCCTCTGCAAGTAAGTTTTCAGTGGAGGAATTTCCATGCTAGATGAAATGTATAGAGGAAGCTCAGTCCAGTAAGTGCCGTCCCTTAACTGGCTAGAAAAGTGTTCTTTAAATCTTTTACAAACTCAGGGAGAGCTTTCTCTTTTGAATGTCGATTAATACTAATATTGCAATCTTGCTCCCACGTTTTGTTATTGTATCTATATTATGTTACTACTAAGTTATACTGATTAAGTAATGAATCAGAATGAGCGATGTGTGTATTGATCAGAATACTAACTGTGTATAAATAATGCGAAAAGTACTATAAAAATACCGCGTATAATATTACTAACTCGCTGAAAGTCCAAATAAAAACAGTTATAGCAACATTTCTTTGTATAAAGTAGAGTTTATTGACTTCTTATGTTCTATATATAGTTAGAGAATTATTGTCTTCTAACCTTGTAGTTATTTCCTTTACTGATTCACTATATATAAGATAACAAGACTTATCGGACAGCAATCTAATCGGCGTCTATTCTGTTCAAAGAAAGAAACTGGAAACTTCCTAACGCGGCCCGAAAAGTTCCGACTTTAGCCAACTTATCATTCCAAAAGAACTGGTCGGAATCTTCATGCCACGCATGTTCTTCATACGGGTAATCCTTCGCATCTGTTTCATCCTTCTTCGAGGGAGCTATGCGCCACGCAGTGTGCAAATTATTTGCGGCAGAAAGCACAATGTCATCTTCTCCCATTGGTTTTGGTGTGTAGCCAGGTAGACCGATTGAAAGTAACCGGCGGTCACATGGCCACACTGATGTATACTCCTTCCCATGTCGGTCAACCAATATCGCAGCCCAACTATGTTGGGCAGCTTTGACACTAATGCGCCACCTCCCTTCTCATGTTTTGGTTTTCTCTTCTTCGCTTTGGCCAAGTCCAAATCTGGCAGTTGGTATCGGGGAATGTGGTTAGCAAGGAAAGCTCTGAAATACTCGTAGCGTTTAATACGCGGTGGTTCATTATGTAAGGACCTGTCTTCTTCGATGGGACGACCTTTGAAAATTAAAGTTAGCGAGGTATGTACTGTGAAACAAATTGTAGTTACCGTACCTGCTTCCTCTTCCATCCTCTTCCATTCATTCCACGCTGGCTCCTAGATCTTTTTCCAGACTCTGTTGAACTCCTCTGTGTTCGCCTTGACCGACTCAGCTTTTATCTTTTTGATATCTTCCTGAGCTAGAGCCTTGAATTTAGGAGGTTTCAAGGTTTCTTTTTCTTCTTCCTCATCCAAAGTTATCGGAATAAGAGGAGACCTTACTCCCCGCTTGAATGCGAAGTCCAAGCCAAAGGGCATCGTGGAAACTGGTGGCATGCTGAAGTACGTTTTATGCTCTGCTCTTCATACCAGTATTGTAGTAGTGTTGTAGTGGTCCCAAGTGTGATAGTGTGGGGTGCGGCGGTGGGTTATTGTTGGTGTCGTGAACCTCTTGTGACGATCACAATTGTATGGTTCTGTGGTTGTAAATTTCTACTTCCCAGATGCCAAAGGCACCAATAACACATACACTCCAAAGTAGGGTAAAGGTATTTTCTTACAACGTTTTCGCCATATTGTGAAACAAGATTGTTTAGCCGAGGAGACTTTAAGGATTCAAGCCTTAATTCCCTCTTTCGTCGCATCTAGTTTAATCTAATTTAGGTAAGATACCTGGTCGTTACTCTATACATACCACTCTTAGAAAAAAAAAATTCTAAAAGCGTCGTACAACTAAAATATTTATATAAAGAGCTTGATTAATTGTTAACTCTTATTTTTTATAAACCTAGGTATCCTAAGACCATTTATTTGCTTTTACTATACGTTTAGTATAATAGAGTTTTATGTAGTGTATATAGAGTAACGACCATGTCTCTTACCCTTTTCGTCACTGCCTCCGGAATAAAGAAAAGCCACAGCATAGCAATTAGAAAGTATTGTAAATCTCAGTTTTCTTAAGCATAAGAATACCTATTTCCTCTAAAGCTAATTTAATCTACTTCATTAGTAGACAGAGCTCGCACATTAATGAATCATACTATGATCTACCTATATAATTCTCTGGTAGCCTATAAAATAACTCAGTTTCAGGTATGGAAACTTACGTACCTCCCAGTCGAACTCTTCCCCCCAAAAAAGCGACGCCAAATCATAATTCACTCTATTTACCCAGGTCCCTATAAGGCTAGTCTCCCCCCTACGTCACGTAATAAGTTTGACACTTCGTCCTTGCACAAGCGTGTTAATCATAACGAAGTAAAACCAGAGCAGGCGAAGTGAAATGCCTTCTACTCCAACATACCACTCAACTCAGGAATTCAGCTGGTACAATATCGGCTGTCTGAAGACCCTACTATTAACACCATTCTCCTGATAGCCAGTTCCAAATACATGCAAGCCATCTCACTTGTTCCTCGACACGTGGCAGTGAAATCTCAGGGTTGTCAGTCATTACTGTATATGAATTTCCGGAAATGGAAAAGGCGAGCTTTCATATAGAAGAGCCCATGCCTTGGATTTCTCTCATTGTGTTGGGCTCCCTCGACCTCACTATTCTTTGGACTTTTTCTCGGCTTGTTACTTGTACCAGAATAGATGCAGATATGTGAACTGTCTATTCGCTATATGTCTATTACCCAACCATCTAAGAGCCAAAGGAACCGCAATTGCGGTGACCAGTCTATATGTCTATCCCATTACCATTCCCGTGTATTACCCTGACGCGAGTCCTGTAAATCTCCACCCAAACTCCAAATCCAATCCCAAGTTTCAAACGCCATCTATCTATGCAACTTGGTATCATGGAATTCCCAAAGCCCGTATATGTACAACAGCAGTCACATTCTAATCACGCCTCCAATCTACGCACTCCTTCGTCGATTTCCTTCATAACATCTGTCTCACCCCTACTGGATTTCTCCCTCGCCTCCGCAATTTCAGCTTGTCGGTTCAAATAACTGAGATATGTCTGCCACCCAATCGCAATGACACCCGCAAAGATACTGCGATATTGCGCCTCGATGAATGTAAAACTGAATGCCGTGACCGCAGGCCAGAGTTTACAACTATTCATCATAGAAGTGGGAACCGTCCTCTTGATCCGTTCCCAGACTTCCTGCAAAGAGTCCCCAGAGAGGAGAGACTGCATACCGAAGAAATATGTGTTGAATATGGGTGTGAAACATACTTGGTTGACTGTGACTTTCGTGGCTAAGGAGAGGACTTTGGAGGAGTAGTTGAAGTTGTTCCCTAAGAACATGAACCTAGTTGCGCATTAGCACTTCACATTCGAAAGCGAAAGGGAAAGCAATGTACCATTTGTAACTTGGAATCGAAGACCCCGCACTAATGAATAACGCCCGTATGGTTCTCTTAGGATCATATTCATCACCATTGATATTCTGCGCCGACAGATCCCCGAGGAAGTAAATCACCAACGAACTACAGAACTGGGTGGTATAAGGACGCTTCCTCTGACTATTCCCATATGCCCGAAAGCCCCGCGACAAAGGACCCAGTCGTTGCCAGAGTGGCACAGTCGCGACGGTGTTGGGAACTGGGATGGAGGTACCTCCAGTGTAGGGGTCGTCTTCGGGCTTTGCTCGTGAGTTGGTGTGTCTTTTGGTGGTGACATTTGGAGGTTTGCTTGGAATGTGGGATCGTCGGAAGGCTGCGCGACCGACCGCCTTGATCGCATAGACTGCCATTGTTGGGTAGAGGATTATCGCAAGCGCATTGCTGGTTGTTGGTGTTGAGAGGTGGAAGTTGAAATGTGTGCGACGTGACAAATTCCAAGGCCGAGATCGCCCGCTGAAGAAGTACCTCCCGTAGGGGTCCTCGGGTTCATATTGCCCATTCAGCCGTTCAGGATAAAAGGAGCCGCAAACCTTACAATGACACCACAACACGAGTACAACAGTACATCAAACAAAACTCGGCTCGAAAGAGTATATCAAGATAAGGGGGTTGTTTTCTTGCATTTATTCTTCTTTTCTATTCCAAGGCCCTGTGATTTTCTCAGCTCTCCCTTCACTAAATTCCCTCCCAGTGATTTGGTCGGCTGCTTGCATCACGAGCACAAGTTGAGGCTTACCGAAAATGGTAAAGCCAAGATATAAATAGAATTCTCTTGGAACGCTTTCTCTCGCTTAGCAGATTGATATCATTGGCGTTGAACTACAAATATTTTCGCAAGAATTTGGCTTTCACTTTATTCTACGGTCTGGGATCTTTATAATAGATGTGGAGTCTTATTCTCACACTAACATACCTAGGTAAGATTCTGGCGAAGGTGGTGATTGTAAATATAAAAATATATGAACTTTTTATACATTAAGGTGAAATCTAAGCTTGAAAAATATCCACGACTCAAAGGATTTCAGAGCCTGAAAACTTGTGAATCTAATGGAAACTCTGTATTTGCGCAGAAGCGAGAGGGGAGATCGACGACTGAATTCTACAATTTCAGACATATTATCCCACTGCTAGACCCCATTTTCTCAAAAACCGGGGCAGACGTCTCGGCTGAAATTGCTATTCCGGCATCCAAATTCAAAATATGCGTTTCCTTTTGTCCAAGATATAGATAAGAGGACGTGAAAAAGTGACAATTATTTAAAACGAGGTTATGTTCGAATAAGATTCATCCTCGCTATATATAGTATTGATCTCCAAGGGAAGATTATATTCGAAGTAGCCCTAAGCGCCTTGTTCTAATATTAATTGTTATATTGATCTAGAATTTGTTCAATTATAGCTTAAGCGAGGAGAATATAGACATCTTATTTCTTTATCGTGATATCACAGATATCTCTATACCAACACTCTTGAACTAGGATTCTACCTCCATGTAGATTAAAAGAATGTAATTATGAAACGAAACAAACATAGTGATCAGAACCGTTGGTTTCCATTATACATTAAGGCCCAGTCAAATAGTCTCGTCATTATGTGTGTCCTCGCCGCAACAGCTTTCAACTGGGAAATGTTCGTGAACTCAGATTCACGATCCAACCAAGGAATCGCTACCGCCAGCCAAAAGAATTTCTCTCCGTCGTTGATGCTCCATCCAAAACCACGCCACACCCGCCCCGAGCAGAGCAAGGCTAACCCACCAAAGAAACATCCCAACTCTCCGTATGACACTCCAAGAGAATCCCTTGAACACCGCCAACATGCCAAGTTCTTCCTTCTTGTAGGTGCAAATCTTCGTACCGAAAACCAGACAACCTCGACCATCGGGACGACTCTCGCACTCGCCGTGTTCACGACGTCGTTTCATTAGAAGTCTAGAATAGTATGATTAGACATATTGTACAGAGACGGATCAACACCGATAACGAGGGCACTACCTAACGCTTCCCCGACAGAATCTCATATCGCTACCGAGTTCGCACCCTTTGTCGTGGGGACAATCGAGATGCAATCTTCGACGCTCGATCAGCCACTCGATTTTCAGATTTACCCCTGTGTAGACGAGGGAGTAGAAATATTGGTTGGTGTGCTTGAGGGAGAGAGCATCTGGGTAGGTGAGGTTTGAAGCGATGAGAAGGTGGATTTCGGTTGGGAGGGAAGTGAAGGTTCGTTTAGGCGACGCCAAGTGAGAGTGGGTAGGCATTTTTGATGTTGGTCCTATTGCTGATGTTGTTGCCATCTCTTTTCGTGTCAATATAACTTGAATAATTACTGATGAAGAGGAATATCCATCGATATTTCGAGATGAATTAGAGCACGTGGTGCTTATAGTTCAGCGAAGCCTTATCGTGTTGAAGTTGGAGACTATGCAGGTACGAGGCGTCGATTCAAATACAGACCTCGAGATTGGTCTCTCCGTTTGTCTGACGGGTAGCAAGTGGAAATATATGTCTTCTATTGCCTGGGCTGAGTAACAGGATGGCTGCTTGGTATTTTCTTTAGTTTTTGCGCACCAAGCAAACGGGAAAAGTGTTGTGTACAATGTTGTTATTGGAGGTAGCCTCCACGTTTCAGATCCTGTCGAGGTAGCCTAGTGACACTCCAGGCTGCCAAATGAGTGGCGAAGTCTCGGATGACGATGCATCATGAAATATCCACATTCTGAATACGAAGGAGCTGTTGATTTGACTGGAACATATCGGAGAAATTGAAGAGCGTCGGGGCACACGTAAAAAGATCTGAGGGACACTTGCAATCTGGTGGCTTAGCCAATTGAATGGTGAAGGGAGAGGAGTACTCGTATAGCACCTTGACGGAAGACCGTTCAAAAAGACAAATTGCGAGGCATCAGCTTTTGAGGGAACATTTTTGGTACTTTCAATAACAATTACCCCTGATGGAAGCGACTTCTAATTTGAAAGCTTGAGAAGGAGTTGAGGGAGTGTTGTAATGGCGCTAGGCGGCGATAATCCGGATAAATCCAGATCCCGTGGGGTCGCGCCTATTTCGCGATAAGCAAGACTCGAAGTCGTCATCGATTATGACCCAGACCATCGCGATGGACGATTTGCGGTATGGCCACCTACAGTCCTGCCAGAATTGCTACACGTACATCAACGGCGGTAGCTGCAGCTCTTGAAGACGAGGAACGCAATTACGGTTCTGATTTTTCGCCCGAGGAAGAACAACTGCTGGCACAAATCTTGAATACGCCATCCGCCACAGAAGACAGCCCCATCACTAGCGCAGTTGAACATTATGAACCGGAGCGGAAACTTCGTCTCCCTCGTGTCCTTGGGAGGGAGGGGAGGTCTGCGTTATTTGAAGCTGCAAAAGCAGCAGATGAGGTGGCTAAACAGATCAACGGGTCTGTTAGTGGGGGCGAAACCTACTTGGACTGTACGACTCCCATCGTTTTGCTATTATCAACCTTCTGACTGACGGTGAAGCGTCTAGTAAGCAATCAACTCAAAGGCACGAAGGTTATCACACCCGACAATGTGGAGAATAATGGAGACGCAAACGCAACCGAGCCCAAACGGCCAGATACGCGATCTCCTCTCGAACGATTTCGCACACAGCCTAGAAAAGGGCTCTCAGTCACAGATCTGGTATCGCCAGCATGGTGTGAATTGCAATATTGGTACTCCTTGACCCTCCATGGAAGAAAAAAGCGTACACCAGAAATGAAGCAAGGAAGTCGGGTGCACCAAGTGTTAGAAGATCAGGTCCATACCACCGTCACAGTAGAAGTGGCGACAATAGAGGATCGCTGGGGCTTACGGATATGGAATGTCATACAGGGCCTACAATCACTAAGAAATTATGGTTTAACGCGTGAGTTGGAAATTTGGGGAACAATCGATGGACTGGTAGTAAACGGTGTTATCGATGAGCTGAGCTACATCTGTCCAGATGCAGATCTTGAAGAAACTTTCGAAAGGGCCGAAAACCCAATTTCAACTTCTGGGAATGAGCTTCCTCCAAACCAGGCAACAATTTCCGAGTATTTCAAAGCGGCCAAAGGGAGTTCTCTAAAAGAAGGTACCAGGATCAAACAACGAACTCAAACGAAAAAGATTTATTTGTGTGACGTCAAAACTCGGGGCGCGAAAACCCTACCTTCGGGAGCGGCTTTCCGACCAACCAAAATGCAACTCATGCTCTACCACGATTTACTTTCCGCTCTTGCGACGAACAAGGTGGATTTTTCCATCTTCACAAAACGATACGGACTTGACCCAGACAAGTCTTTCTCTGATGCTTTCATCGCCCAAGTAGGGAGTCTCAATGAGGAGTTTTTTGATACTCAAACATCCCCCGATCCAAATCAAGAAAGCCTTCCCTCTAGTCAGAATTCTCTCCACGTTCTCCTTGAGCACAATGACTTATCCACACTCTGGGGACTCATGATAAAAGAATTCCAAATAACACTTCCTGATGGCGCTTCCTCCTTGGGAAAAGTTCTCAAAGCTGAATATCGCTCACGGGATGCGGGTGAGGTTTTAGGCAGTAAAACTTTCGCCATGGATGAGAAGGAATTGAAGTCGTACCTTGATCACGAGATGGCATGGTGGAAAGGAGAACGCAAAGCGGAAGGCGTAGCTATTGAAGAAGCTTATAAATGTCGGAGTTGCGAGTTTGCTGAAACCTGTGAGTGGCGCCTGGAAAAGGTGGAAGAAGCAACGCAGAAGTCGCGAGCGAAGAGGAAAAAGAGTGTTGCCGCCTGATGAGAAGGTACGTGTGGTATTCAGATCACAAAAAAGTTACTATTTAGAGATGAATTGACATTGGGATAGTACCATGCCGATCACTACACGCATCATTGTAAATTATATATCGTACCATTTCCTATTTATATATAATTGAAGAGGTGCAAATATTCTAAATGGCCCCTCCAACCCCGCCTTACATGCCAGGATCTAATATTCAGCCTCAACGATGTTCACTTGACTCGGTGCCGCAAATTTAAGGAACCCTTTCCCTCGAATTTTCAGCCGACTTTTCTAAACGCGTCGCCTTCAAACAACCTTGTGTCTTGATACGCATAATGACTCGCACGGGAAGTTGAGCAGGTATTCTCATCGGACTATTACCGGGTAGGTACTGCGCTTGGAGTAAAGTAAATTTAACTCTTCCCCGCGTTGCTTGTGGTGATCAATCACTTTTTGCGTAGCATCATAGCGTGACAGAGCCAGGTCAAAAAATCAAATTAAGCCTCAAGATACGGACTCACTGACGGGAAATGCAGTAAGTAAGTGTTATACCAGTATATACAGCTCCATCGGTCCTGATATCTCACCAATCACGTACTTAGAACTCAACACGGAGATCTAACGCGGTAAATCGAAGGTTTTTGGCCCCTGAAGCTACCCTTGCTCCTCTTTTTACCAAGTACAAGCGCCTTTCAGCTACGTCAGATCTCGGGGCACATTCAAAATAGTACTGAAGGTAGATCTTCAAGAAGTTCAGCCTTGAGTCAGGGTCCCTCTATGGCACTTGCGGCATGGATTCCTACGGACATCAAGTCTTTTTCGTCTGGTCTTTGACCACCTTGGGCCTCCGTATCAATGTAACGGGTACAAGATACTGTAGGTTGCGAATCTGTTGCTCGTTCACGCTAGTCGTTCTGTACTCGGTTCAATTCTCTTTAATTGCAAGCAAGCCTTGTTTGGAGCTGCTTAAAAATTTATTCAATTTAGACGCTCCTATCAGGCACGACCGCCCTCAAGAGGCTTCACCTTTCCTCTTCCTATTCCTGTCGAAACGGACGGGGAAGACCCGAACTCGATGAGAACCTTGAGATCAAAATTGGGGAGGAACTTGATGTGGTGATGCCAAGAACGGATCTCTCAAAAAATATCCTGGCCCGTATAAAACTCTGTTTTCGCAAGGGGAAGATCCATGGACAGCGTGGTATCTGGTGTACGGAACTTATCAAGCTCTTCTCCGGTAAGTTCCAACCAATCTTGTGGCTTCAAGAACTTGTCTGTCTTCAACAGCGCTGGGCGGCTTTCTGCAAGGAACAAGTATCCGGACTGTCGGGTTTGGTCCGAAATGATAGCTCAAAACCGGTCATATTGTAATCGATGCAGGATTGCTAGGAATATCATTTTTGTAGAGACTTGATAGGGAGTGGCAACGGAAATACCGAGGTTTGTTGCTTTGGACGAGTTGCCATTTTTTTCTGCCATTGACTCGCACTTCTAGAAGATATCTCATTGGGTATTGGTGAGGCACAACACCAAAATGCAATCGACATCTAGAGCGGTAGGATCTCGCTTGATACGCGGAAGTCGAAAATGCTGTTGAATGTCTCTCCGCTCGCAAATATCTCCCTAAAGAGCAATACCCCACTTTAACAACTCCATTTCACCCCACTACTCTCCCACGAGAATTCGATGACGGGTTGATAAGTGGGAACTAGGGTAATCCATATGAGGAATTATCGTACATATAAGTTTTCTTATCGATGACCGCCTGCTATTTCCTATGATATTTTGTTTGCTGATCAATGAACTCTTCCTCCTTTAGATATCGTATATCCTCTAACCAACATTTCCATATGCCTCGCTATCCTCCATCCAGTAATGCATCAGCAGTTTCCATTGATCCGGTTGTTCCCACAGAAACAACTGTCAATATGTTACTAGAGCCCTTCAGCGGTCGATCGAACAGCCCAAGTACACATAAAGCACCACCTCCAACTTACCACTCTGACGTTGAAGATATTGAAGCGTTGACTCCGACACGATCAAGACACCAGTCTATGTCTAGATATACGGAACAAAGTTTTGAAAACCAGCGAAGAACTGAACATTCAACCAGGCCATCGAACGATTCGCTTCCGAGGAAAATGAGTTTCGGGGAGGATCTTGGGAATGGGAGAGCTACAACTAAACAACGACATATTCCGACTCCTGTTTCTCCTTTGAAAGAAATGTATAGTCGAGGTGGTGGGTCGAAACCACAACCTCGACACATACAACCAGGACTTACACAACATGGACACAGCAATGTTGCCGATTTCTATAGCCCTGAGGTATTTCAGGTTGTTCTGAATAATCCTACTACGGCACATCGATTGAAGAGGTTTTGTCAGAGTAGAGCTTGTGGGGAAGATATGGAATATTTGCAGAAAGTGAGTTATTTCGCCTAGTCGTTTAGCATATTATTCGCGAAGTAAAAAATGACAAACTTCTCAAATGCCACAATGTCGAGTGCTAACTTTACCTTTCAATTAGATTACTGAATACAACCGCCTGCTCGACGACATGGCGCAGCTTCTAGGATCCATCAATTCACAATATCTGTTACCAGATGCCCCCCGATCCGTTACCCTCCCACGTACCCTGACAAAACAAGTCTCCTCGGATATCAGGTACTTCATACAAAACACAATACCATCACTAGAATCTGTCTTTGCTGGCTCACAGGAAACCGTTGAGAAGATACTGGTTGAGGATATGTATCCGAGATTTGTGAGGCATCAGGTTACCACTTCGGCGACATTGGCGATGTCAGATCATAAAGAGAAGTTTCAGGGCTTGGGAGATTGTTTCTGTATCACGGATCCTTCGTTAGTCGCTCTCCCCACAATCCAAAAATTGGATACAACTCACGTTGAGCTTGCAGGATAGCGGATAATCCCATTCTCTGGGCCTCAGATGGATTCGTCTCAGTAACAGGGTACGAAAGAAAAGACATCATCCCCCGGAATTGCCGCTTTCTCCAAGGCTCCCAAACAGATACCAAAACCACAAAGCGCCTCAAGTTATCTATCCAGAACTGCGAAGAATCTGTCGAACTCCTTCTCAACTACCGCAAAAACGGGGATCCTTTCTGGAACCTCTTATACGTGAGTCCTTTGTTCAACGAACAGGGGGAAGTCACGTATTTCCTTGGAGGACAGATTAATTGCTCGACGACTATCCATTCTTTTACGGATGTCCTCAGGGTTCTGAGTGCGAATGATGACGAGTTGGAGAAATTTGATTTGATGGATAGACCTGTTAGTGTGAGAAGTCGAGAGCCCGTTGTGAAGAGCAAAAGTAGTTTTTTCAAGGCGTGGAGAAAGTATAGTGTTCGCGATCGGGATGCGGGGAGAGGCGGGAAGGTGGTGGTTAGAGGGGAGGCGGGGATGGAGGGGGAGCTGGTGGGGAAGTTGGAACGGTTGAATTTTGATACGCAGGTTGAGGCGTTTTATACGGCTTATTCTAAGGTACGTATCACCCACCACTTTTTCCTAACTTCTGATGAGAGTTCTGAAAAGGAAATATCGAAACGAGGAGGGAATTCTGACATACAAAATAGTACCTAGTAATGGACTTGAACGCCGTAACCCAAACCCTAACCATCCAACACTACTCCCCGGGCGTGATCGACATGCTCTGTCTCAACCTCCCCAACGGGAACGTCATCCCTATCTACAACAAAGACATCTTCAAAGTCCTCGCTGACTACACCGCCTCGCCAACCTCACATTTCCGAGACCGCGTCAAAGAAAATATGAGGAGGGGCGGCGCGGTGAGTTTAGAAATCGGCTTCCTCACCGGATATGCGGAGAAGAAGGGTGGTGGGCTGGCGAGTGGAAAGAGCTGGTTCAGGGGAACATCCAGGGATGCGCTGGGGGGTCGCACGGAAGAGAGATATGTTACTCATTGGACGCCGTTGAAGGATGTTGGGGGGAGGACGAAGAGGGTTGTTTTGACGATTGCGCCGAAATAGGGGCAGGTGAGTTGTTTTTTTGTGGGTCTGGGAAGAGCTTTTTTTGTTGGCGATTGTAGGATGTTTTGCTTGGGCTTATATATAATGGCGGGTTGGGTTTTTTTGGGTGGTTTTTCTTGACTTACCTTTGTAACTTTAATATTTAGATACCTAGCCGAAGATCGGTCTTTTTCTTTAATTAGAGACAATTTATATCTAGAAAAACAGTTCTCATGGGTTCGAATGGATGTTAAGCTAATGTAACTCGAGATCTAACTTCGCAAACTGTTCTTTATTAATGAAGTCGTTCTACCCCTGCAGCCATTTCCCAAACACCGTCTCCTTTGGCAGAGGGATTTGGATTGTTCCTTGTCATTAACTTTGTTTTTCCTGATAGTAATCATGAGGACCTTGCAAAGAGGTTGGATCTACTTCTCGAGAGTTTCCAAAGCTGGAACATCGCCGCCTTTTCTACGACGCAGATAATGTGGCAGTGTAAAAGCTAGTATATAAGAGACGACTGGCTATAGATATATAGACATAAGATATAGGAGTAGCGTTCAAGAGATGTGGGAGAGGTAAATCTAATCTAGACCTCTTACTTGAGTAACTGATCATATTCCCTATTCTCTTAACTTACGTCGCCCATCTTTTTCCGACTTCCACTTTACGCCCTGTGTAGAAAATCATGTCTATTACAGTACCTACAACCTTTTTGAGGCTTGGGGCTACGCGAGGAGTTGTGATTGGTTGGGGTATCTTTATTTACTTCGTGGGCCTTGACGCAGCAACAGCCGGATTTCTTCCTCTTTCTCTGCCTTTGGATGGAAAAAGATACAAGCTCGATGAATATTTCAATGCGGCTGTTGATGTTTATGTTAATGGCTCGGGGCGATATATAGCGTGGTAGGCCCGTACTTAAGTGAGAGGACCCGGCGAGCTACAGTATCGCCTCGTAAATTACTCGCCAAAGGAAAGTGTCTCATCATCTGTATCCTCGTCTGAAGTGTCGGCTTCGTCCAGGACTATAACGGTATCTCTGTCTCTGTTTCTGTGTAGAGCCCTAGTAATAACCTTCGTATTCTTAACCAGGCCTTCCAAGCTCGGATTTCGCGTGAATAAGATCTTATGCGACGTCTCCCATGTTCAAGTCTATACCTTGTCCTCGGATATCCATTCTTCACCACAGAGGTCCATTCGTATCCACGTTTTCTCCTTCTGGCAGATCCCGAATGCTAGTTTTGGGACCTTAGTACGGCCGAGATTGCTTGTAATATGGTCATGTATTTGTGAGTTAGTATCATTAATAGTTGTATCAAGCACGCAGAGTATGGCTCCTATTTTATACTTCCTTCTTCAGTTTTCCCTTTCAGCTTTTGTAGGTTTCATCGTCTACAAGTGCCCTATTGTCTCTGACTACTGTACTAGACCCTCGTCTAACAGATTGGCTGGATGCCTTGTTCTAGCTTTCTACTCTTGGTAGATGTTCGAGAATGAAGTCTCTCGATGGCGGTTGGTCTTCTTGAATGCCATTCACGTACTCCCACAACCCCGGGAAGCGGAAAGCGCTACATTCAGATTAAAAGAGATGTAGGCCGGTCTGCGTATGCTAGTGCTGACTGGAAGATGCTTTATAAATCTAGCGCCTAGAGAAACCTCCAGCAGAATACCTTTTCAAAATCAAGGAGATACATACGATACTTCCCTCTACCCATCCCCTTCATACTCCAACCCTCAGCACCTGAATCGCATACATTCGCAGGATATGATTTTATAAGTAGTACCAGTAATAGTACTACTTACAATAACACCGCATCGTCGAAATCCTTAAAAGAGTACCTAGCAAATAGAACTTACGGTTGTTGTCCGATTCCTGATTTTCCGCTGTCTGTTGTATTATTGGTCTTTTTATTGGTTGTACTGATGGATGTATATGTAGAGGGTGGTTGATTGTGGATGTTTGGAGCTTTTGGCGTGAAGTTGGTGTAAGTGTGGTAAGAGTTTGAGAGGTACCTTACTTTATCTTCTTTTGCTTTAGCTTAGCTTATCTAGCATAAAATAAATCCTCGTTCATACATATTACACACACACACACACCCCTCTCACTTACTAAACCTCCAGAGCTAACTTTCCAAAGCTGACCGAGGATATCTTGAAGCAAAACACTTCTACATTTCAAGCTCGAAGTGTAGGTACATAAGTATTCCTTTCCACCACATAATGTAATTTACACGGCTATCAGGGGACATGAGGACACACAGAAGTGACCTGCCCTGTTTGCGCAAACTCGGGAGATATCAGACATACTATAGGGTGAAGGAGGAACGATGTAGGGCGGTAGGCTGTTGAAGGTGAGGCTTGCTGGGGAGAAAGTAGTGTTCGAGGTAGTTGAGAAGAAAGAGAGAAAGAATTACAAGAGGCGAGAAAGCTCGCTTCCCGCATTGAAGACCAAATTCGAGGTACGAAAACATGGCATACGAAACCACGGTAAAAAGAACCATACAGTACCAAAAGTTCTAGAATCTCAATTTCGATTCAACCCCGTAAACGCTCCCCAAAAACCCTTCCCTACCC